AAGACGGTTTGGTTAAAGACAGCGAGTTCATTTACAATTGGGTTACGAACCGCACCAACGCCAAGGTGTTCATCTGGGGACATTCTTTGGGAACGGGTGTGTCCACCCATCTCCTGGGGAAACTCTCCAAGGAGCCCATTCGAAAACCGACCGGTTTAATCCTCGAGAGTCCATTTACTAGCTTCACCGACGAAATCGCCGAACATCCATTCGCCAAAGTAATATAACCCAGATTCTTCCTTTACTCATGGAGATTAACTCGTTGTTTTTTTGTTTATTAGATTTTCCGTCCATTGCCTTGGTTCCACTACACCATCATCGATCCTATGCTGAAGAACGGGTTCGTCTTCGCCTCCGACAGACACATCATCAAGGTGGACTGTCCGATCATGATTCTGCACGCGGAGGACGATATGGTCGTGCCTTACGATCTTGGCGAGAAACTCTATAAGACTGCCATCGATTTCCGACGGGAAAGTCAAGGGAACGTTTCCTTCTTGGGTTTCCCAAGTAAACTCGGATACGGTCACAAATTCATCTGTCGCGCGCCGGAAATACACGAAATTATTACGTAAGTATACATACGTTTGCAAAGCGTATTTTTAATTTAAGCTTCAAATCCAAATTCCAACCTTGTCAGTATTAAAATCAGTACATTCCAAGTGACTTGTCAAGTAACGTATATATCATAGACATTTGTAATCTGTTGTTTCACATATATTTACATATAACGTAGTACTTGCCAATTAGTTAACAACAGAAATAACAACCTGGCAAAATTTGGGCATATTCTAATTGAAGACATGAATATGGAATTATTAAAATTGGAATTGGAAGACTCCAATTTCTATTTTTTATATTTCGACGTCAGTTCTTTTTAAAGGAATTATTTAAAACTAAATATGTTCGATGATTCTAAAATATTTATTGTACTTTAAAAGAAGAATTTTTTAATAATTTATTGGCCAGATAATTTTATGGATATTTCGGAATTACGTTAAAGGACGGAAATGACGGGATCTTAACTTTAAGAAAGCGATTATTAATGAGGTTCATCTCGAGGTGAGAGGTCTGGAAGTTGGAAGCGAGGATAGTAAGGGAAAGGATAGTGGATTTTCCAGCTCGGAACCTGAACTGGTAGACGGGGATGGAATTATCTAGGTAGGAGAGGGGTGGAGTGTTATAGGACGGTAACCAGAAAGGAGAGAAAAATCACTATCACTGTTGGGGATACAAACAATTATACCAGACTTCCACTCGCAAGGGACGAGACAGAAGATTTTAACAATAAAGGAGTGGACATCAGATTTTTTTATTATATATAAAAATAAATCATGTAATTGATAGAAGAATCGAGTGGTTGTAAATCGCTTCAATTACTTGACTTAGATTGAAAAGTGAGTCAATCGATAAATCTCGATAATCAATGCTGTTGTGAGCGCATATGAAAAAGTCCTATTGCACAACAAATACGATTAAGCTTTAACTATAAGTACTTTATGTAATAATAATTATATAACTGACATTTTATATTTCAATTTAAAAAAGTAGAAATATGTAATTGTTTTTTCTTTCTTTTATTACAGAAAATTCGTGCGGGAATCCTCGGAGGAGACGATGGAAAAGAAGCTGGTCTAAGGATTGTTGCGTCAATTAGTAGTTTCCAATTATCCATTATAACTTTTTCCTTAGTTCTCTCCTCTTCTACCTACGTTCTGGTTTACATGTGTTAGTAGCTAGCTAAGTACCATTCCTATAAGTAACTAAAATCCATACGTGCGTATGGAAACAACCGTAGATTTTAGCAGTAATCTTTAAGTAGCAAAAAAAAAGGATTTGTGATTAACTAAGCACCAAAATGACAAGATTCCATGAAGGCATATGGTCGTACAGCACCGTATAATTTTCGTTTTCCTTCTTTCATAGTGTATTTATTATTTAATATTTATTGATATCTCCTGATCATCTTTATTTCGCTGTATTCTAATTTACTAAATATATATTTTTCTTTTAAATTTTCACTCGCATCCCCAAAATTTCCCAATAGTCGAAGATTCAAAACGATAATTCCTATCTCTTATTATTAATAATATTATTTTTTTTGTTTGTTTCTGTTTCCTAATAATAAAACATTGTATATTTTTGTAAAAAAAAACACATAATAATTATTTTACACCTTCATGTGAATCCCCTTGAATTCCTTCGTAGATGACTCATTTAGATTTTTACTGATTGATAAACTCGAGATTAAAATCGATGAATTGTCTGGATGAAAGATTGCAAATAATTTGTAGATTACATTCTCTTTCTTCTTTCTGTCGTTTGCAGTAGATTATTGGAAACGTAATATTGAATTCAAGAAAGGAAACTACTTTACATTGATGATTATGTAAGTAATGAATTTTGATAACTTTTTCTTGTTGATTCAGAAGAAAGTCCAGAATCTATACAAGATTCTTCCTCAAATGATATGCACTAATAATTTCATTCTAATTATGCAATCATAAATTATAAAATTTTATAGATGAAGGAATTAGATTTTATGATATTTCTACTAAACTATGAATGGAGAAGTCTCTATTTTTAGTATCATCATTCCTTAACGATTTTTTTTTTCAATGAGTAAACCAATTTCGCATCTAATCTAATTGATGACGATCGCCAAAACAATTAAGATAGCCCTGACGATGAGCAAGTTCAGCATTTGGTTGAAATAAATAAACACAGGCGAAATGTACTAAAATGTGGGGGAATTGATTGTCACAGAATGATCGTGGAGACACGACAGTTTTCCTTAGTCGCTCGCAGGAATCGCATCTTCGCGCTCCGCTCAATAGTTTTTTTTATTTTATTTTGTTTGAATTTGAATTTATAATTTGAATTCAATTGTCAAGTCAATTCGAATAGATTGTATATAGTTTACAATTCCTGCTCCGTGATTAAGCATATTGCTTAAATTGGGTGAGTTTAATTCAGTCTATTGAAATCTTTGATTAGTGCGAGGATTATCAATTAATAATTGACTCGATTCGTACGAAAATGCGTACCAAAAAATTCTAAGTAATCAGATAAATCCTCCTTGAATCCATCAAACACAATTTATATTAATTTTATTTACGTTGAATGGTTTTTATTTAAGTTTATAACAATCAAACAATTTAACGTGATTTTATACACTTAATACTTATTTTTTTTTCACAATTTTAACTTTGAAATTAGTTTTTTTCGCAGTATTGAAACCTTTGGTCGAGTGCGGTTTGTAATTATCACGGACGTAATTTAGATAGAGAAAATATAGAAAAAAAGCACGTTCGAACATGCGGCTGTTTCGTTTGATAATAATTGCATATTTCTTTTTTTAGAATTTATTTCGCTTTCTTACGATTGCCTCCGACGTTGTTTTCAAATTGGCGCTACAAAAAATTTCACTTTCATAATTATAGGCAGTTGTTAAAGTGCAATTAAATTTCTTCTCGTTATTGATGCTGCAACATAATTTGATTAAATTTATTTGGAAATATCTGAGATAATCTTTAAAATTAATTTGATACATTTTTTTTTTAAATATAGAATTCGTCACTCTTGAGGAAATTGGTCACAGTTTAGTTTGTATAATCAGGACTTTCCTATGGGTTAGAAATTTATATAAATAATTTGGAAAATTCACTTTACTACAAACAATGACATTATCAATGAAAGTATGCGTAAACCGGTTTGAATTTGTAATCAGTTTCAATTTGTTGTTGTTGTTAAAGTGTTGTTGTTAAAGCGTTGTTGAAAACTTGAGCAAACAAATAAACCAAATATTTACAGGTTTATATGAAAACCGAAATCATATTATTTACATTTCCAATTCGACTAAAAGACTTGAAGCTAAGATATCGCGTGATTCACGAGTATCCGAGCGTAAGTAAAAGTTAGTAAATAAACGTTCTAAAATCATGACTGCGTTAATCATCTCCAAATATTTGTCATTGTTATCCTGCCGTGTATTTTCATTGGTACACTCTTCCCTCTTGGCCTACTACACTCGAGCAATTTCATTTAGCATATCTGATAAACACGTAATCAGCATTCTGATAATCTCTCCTCCGTTTCAGTCAGATTAAGCGATTTGGCTAGTTTCGAATAGTCGACGGAGGAAAAGATGCCGATGTGCTGCGGAAGGAAGGTGCGTAATGATCGATTCCCGCAATCGAGTGCAGTAATTATTAATTGATTTGCAGAAGAGACACACCGATGAGTTTCACGAATTCGATCGAGAAGATGAAAACGACAGAAAACAATCCTGTTGGCCCAAAGCGCTCAAATGGACAGCAATCATAATGTAACATTTATAACAATTAGTTTTTGTTTGTTTTTATTAATCCTCAAGTTTAGTTTGATTATAGCGGTTCTTCTATTCTTAACGGTTTTCGTGATATTCCCCATTATCTTCATGGAGAGCATCAGTCTGCAGCGATTCGTGATGTTCCCCAATTGTAAGCTTTATTTTAATTTATTTATTGTAAATTATATTTTGATGATTTCAGTTGATCAACCCGAAAATCCGCAGTACGAAAACTACGCTCTTTACGGCGCTGTCGGTGTTAAGAACATGTACGTCACGGTCGACGATATTTATACTAGCTCTAGTAAACTATCTTTGGGTGTATGGATGGTCGTGCCCGAGGATACGATAGAGGAGGCCGAAAACGATCCGAACTTTGACTTCATCCAAGAGCTCAGACGCACCAAGAAACCTATCATCATCTATTTCCATGGAAACAGCGGTACCAGGATATACCCTTACCCAACCTATCAAGTGCTCAGGAAGTACTTCTACGTCGTGGCCTTCGATTATCGCGGTGAGTGCTCTTAATCCTATTTTAACATTTAATTCATTTTTAAACAAACTTTGACTTCAGGTTACGGCGATTCAACAGACGCGCTTTTGAGCGAAGCCGCTGTAGTTAGCGATTCCATGCAGCTCTATCGTTACGTCGAGGGCTTGTCTAAGAGTCCGAAGATCTTCGTCTGGGGACATTCTCTGGGAACAGCCTTATCCACGCACACGCTCAAAGAGTTGCGGAAACAAGGAACCGTCCCTTCTGGCCTCATACTGGAAGCCCCTTTCACCACTATGAGAGAAGAAATCGTGTACCATCCCTTAGGAAAAGTCAGCATCTTCAATTATAGCTAAACAAAACAATAATACATAAATCTTATTGCAGATATTCGCGTGGTTGCCATGGTTTGAGCCAACAGTCTTGGATCCTCTTGAACGCAACAAATTCCATTTCAAGACTACCACCAACATCCTCGACGTGGACTGTCCCATCATGATTCTTCACGCCGAAGATGATTCCGTTATACCATACTTCCTAGGTGAAAAACTGTACGAAATAGCTAAAGATAACAGACAGGAGAAGCAGGGTCCGGTCAGCTATCATCAGATTCCTGCCAAGTACAGGGCCGATCATCTCGAGATCACCAGTCACTCTGAAGTGCCCCAATGGATTGAGTGAGTCAAACATTATAAGTTAACAATTTGAATTTCCTTTTATCTAGCGAGATTACAGTCTTAAAATCAATGCTTTTTTTTGATTGATTTCAGGGAATTCCTTGAGGTCGCTAGAAACTGGCATCGAGGTTTTTGAATCAACTTAAATACTAATTTATTTTTATACGTTTTTAAATTAATATTATTACTATTTCTATTGTTATGAAAAAAGAAACATTAATATTATTTTTATACAACACAATACTTTTTTTTTTCACTGACACTCCACATGTTCCTTATTTTATTCACTTTGTTAATATTTGTATACATTTTAATTTGTACATGTAGCTTCAAACTATGGAAATTTTATACCCATATAATATATGTTTAAATTTTATCTGAATTTTTGTGAATTTGTTTAATAAATTATAATTTTTATAAATTTTATTAGTAATCATTAATACTTTTAGAGGTAATTATAAAATGTACCAGTTATGTCGTTAGATCAGTGGTTTCCAAACTTGATGTTACTACGCCTCCCTCAAAAGTATGTAATCATTTGGCGTCTCCCCACACCCTCCATTTCATAAAAGGAACGCGTATTACAGCAATATCAATAAGAGCACAGTAATATATCGATACTTGCGATTCCTCAAACATTCAGCTTTCATATGCATTATTGGATTTACGCTCCCTATTCTATGCGCATTATAGTTTTCGAGAAAATCAATGAAATGTAAAAACACTGTTTTTCGAGCATTTTTTAAACTTTGAACACGAATTACAGCCAA